ATCTGCAGGCCTGACTTCCTGTCTGTCTGAAACGACTAAGTCAGGTTTCACGAGCCCTCTCTGAGCCTGCCTGTGCGGAGCGGCCGTAATTTTGCCCAAATCTGACAGTAGAGGTAAGAATACCCCCTAATAATTAGTAAAACCACTTTCCGAGTATCTACTTGTGGGGGGAGCCCCCGTTTAATATTGTAAAGCAAATATGAGGGGTAGGGATTAAGTATTTGCTTCACATGGCCGAGGGCACGGAGAAAAAAACTCATCAGGAACATGACCTTCTGTGCATCTTTTTGTTCTGGAGCAACTACCCTAAACATCCCTAAACCTTGAATCCTAAGCCCCTAAACCCTAAACCCTAGAAGCCTAAACCCTGAACTTTGAGTCCGAAACCAAACCCTACACCCATTCCATGCTTTTCGTCTCCCAGCACATTTTAGACGTTAGGGTCTATCGGGTTGAATAACCAGCAGAGGATCTTTTGATTGGAGAGAATCTCGTTCATCCTCGCCTCCGTGATTATACCATCACCGGAATCGTCAATGGCCCTGAAGATGATTTCCAACCTCGCAGCTGCAGCTCAGAAATCAAAGAGCTTAGGGGCTGAGGAGGGTTCAGGGGTGGAGCTTCACGTGAAAGCCTAATGTAGGGGGCCTTAATATTTAGAACCGGTTTTTTGGGGGGTGATATTATACTATAACTATAATAAGGAACCACCAAAATTAATATAGGTAGTTATTGAGGCCCCTGTATATTAAACCCTCAGTGGGGCATGATAGCCATCGCATTGCCAGCTATTTGCCTCGCTGAGGCTTGCTCGCCAAAAGCGAGGATCCTGTCATCTACCATACGGGTCGGTTTTTCAAGTTAGGGTCCCTTTCTAGGGTCCTTTTTTTAAGGATGCCCCACTATATATTGCGAACCTAAAAAGGGACCCGAATTTAGAGAACTACCCATAAGGAGCAGGAAGTACTGTACTAACGACCCCGAGATCCCTTTTCATTCAGGCAAATGTCTTCGATCACAACTTGGATTTAGGGTTTAGGGGTAGAAGCCCGGTATATATGTTAAGCTAAACCATGTCCCCTTACAGCGCGACATGATAGACCCAGATCTTCCAACATCCCCTTTACGAAGGAATAGGATTTTAGGGTTTAGGGTTTAGGGGTTTAGGGTTTAGAGTTTAGGGTTTAGATGTTTAATTTAAATGTTTAGGTGTTTAGGGGTTTAGGGGTTTAAGGGTTTAGGGTTTAGGGGTTTAGGGTCTAGGAAACCGAAGTAAGGGAATTCAGGTCTAGGTAGAAGCCTGTGTCACGTCGAAATTATTCCTCAGGGCTCCTTCTGTACCAATCATACACCCTCCAAAGCCTGAGTAGCACTAAGGCCTGCAATACTACACCTGCTTTTGATGATATTCCTGGATGCCCTTAAGGACCCTAAACTATGGGAATTATGGTGTATTCCTTAGCCGTATTATGAGTAATGCAGGATTTATATCATCAACCGCTATAGGACCCAGATCCTCTTAGCCCCGGCAGTCCAGTCATGAAGCCGCCCCCCTGGATTTAGGAGTCTAAGGCTTAGCGCGTTTTAAGGGATTACGGGTTTAGGGGTTCAGTGTTTTAGGGTTACAAGAATGATTGTCGTGGTATTTGCCAAACGACAATCACACAAACTAATACCAAGTCCGGCCTTTAACCCCGAAAACCTACCTGACCAAGGGCAAGGAAAGATTATCATCGGGACAAGGAGCTTCTCCACGTACTCCGCCTTTTTGCGCAGTCTGTCAACGACCATGTGTTCGGCATCATTTTGAGCTGCGTCGAGAGTGTCCTTCAGGGCTCCAGGGTTTAGGGGCGATTTCAACAGCCCTTAAAAATCACTGAGGACTTCACATTAAATATCCAAATCGCCACGAAGTGGTCTTTAGGCCACTACATTACACATCCCAGTCGGCACCAAGTGGCTTTCAAGAACACAGCGCTGATGACACGTATCACAGCGAAGGCTATCACCGTGATGTATAAAACCTTGGCTGCTTCTTTGGCATCATTCCCCCCTCACCCCAAGGGGTCTATGCAGGTCTATCCTGTTTATTTTGGTCCTTAAGGTACCTATACAGTAACCGCTTTACGGCCTTATAGGGGTCAATAGCACGATCACCTTCAGGCTAACACCACAGCTTTTCAAGTCTCAGGACGTGACGTCAGGGCTGCTGACTGTGGAGTTCTTGAAAACCCAAACGGGTCCTACGTATATAGTAGAAAACACGGTTTCTATGGGTGGGAATTACTGTTTATGATTTGGGCAAGTATTCCCCAAAACAGGTACTTAGGACCCTGTGGGAAGGAGGACTCGGTGGTTCAAGCTAAAAGAGTCCACACTTTAAGCCCTGAAGCCTGAACGTCAAGCCCGAGTTGACTGTATAAACGCTAAGCCCTGAAGCCTAAACCCTATAAACCCTAAACCCTAAACCCTATAGAGCCTGAAGCCTAAAACCCTATACAGCCTAAAATCTAAACCTGAACCCCCTGATGTCTAGAACCTTATGCAAAAAAAACACGGAAATCACCCCAGGATCCTCACAGAGCCGGGCCCTCATGTTCGAGGCCTTCATGGGGTGCAGGGTTTGATCTTTGGCGCACGTAGGGTTTAAGAGTTGAAGATGCGTTTTTAAGGGTTTAGGCTTTTTAGGGGAATTTAGGATTTGAGGGATGGGTTAAATGTGTTTAGGGCTTAGCTTTGTTCTTCAGGGTTTTAGCTTTACCAGTGGCCAAAGGACCGACCTTTTCAAACAATTATATATCGAAACCGTAATAAGGAAACCTAACAAGGCAGGGTTGTTTTGGGCTACAGGTAGAGTTTACGCCTTCAGTTGCTACACTTTAGGATCTAAACCCTAAACCCAAACCCTGAACCCTAAAAACCCCTGAAGCCCCACACCCTAACCCATTCTAGGGCCGTCAGAGCGACGAAAAAGATAACATAGGCGTGGCTGACCTTTTCCAGGACCGGTCGCGAGTTCGTTGGCCAGTTCCTCGTTGGGGTTTAGGGGCTTAGGGCTTAAGTTTTGAGGTTTTAGGGCCTTGGGGGTTTAGGGTTTGGGCTTTATGGCTTCTGTTGGCTTTAAGGTTTACAGCAAGGTTCTGCGATAGTGTTTGGGTACTTTAGGTCAGATGGCTCAAAGCCCTTCTTGTCCAAGTCTCCCAGCGAAGGTTATCTCGTAAAGTGTATACATCGCTCGGTAGGCGGTCCCATACTTGAGCCAGATCACTTCCTGAGATGAGAAGCGGATGGAGTGGTTTGGGGTTTTGGGTCTTGGCGTTTCAGGTTTACCTGAACCCAAAATAGCCTACCTTTGTACTTGGAGGGAGGACTAAGTCAGTGGTAGGCTATAAACGCTCTAACTGGGATCCTAGTTGGGGCTATGGTGCTTATAACTCTATAAAAACAACTACTTACTCAATCCCCCGACCCTCCAAGTAAGGGCACATATTAAGGAACTCAAAACAAGGAGCCCTAAAAAGGTAGGCGTAAACCCTAAACCCACAACAGATTTAAGGTGTAGGGGCGGCGCGCTTCGAGCCATGGCTCAAGATGAACATTGCTGACCCAGGGAAGGGTGTTAGAATGTTTTGGGGTGTGCAAAAGTGAACCTCACAACCGTGAACCCTGCTGTAAATCATGAGGAACCCAAACCCGCCTAAATCTGCATCATGAGCTTTTTTTGGACATACCCTAAACCTGAACCCTAGAAACCCTGAACCAAAACCCTACACCTATGGAGTGGGGTCCCGCGAAGCCCTGGGCTGAGGGTTGCGTTGCTGAATTACTTCCCCACATCAAGTATTAGGGTCTGGGGTTTAGGGTTTAGGGGTTCGGGGTTTAGGGTATTAGGGTTTGGGGCTTAGGATTTAGGGGTTTAGGGTTTAGGGCCCAAGGTCTGAAGTCCGAAAGGGAAAAACGGCTCAGGATCTGGAGTTCAGGCTTGGGGCGTAGGCTAAAAACCCAGAAACCCTCAACAGAAACCCCCTAAATCCCAAAGCCTTCTTAAACCCTCCACCGGAGACTCCCAACCCAAAGCCTGCTGGTTTCTAACCTGGCCCCTCAACCCTCAACCCTAAACCCGAAACCCTAAACCCTCAAAACCCTAAACCCTAGACCCCTAAACCCTATAAGCCCTAAGCCCGATAAAAACCCCTAACCCTGGCAGTTCACCTAAGGGACTTGAGTGCTGCAGGCTTAATTGGAGAGGCGGTAGCCAAACAACAGGATCTCCGTCGGCTCTGACTGGGGTTTAGGGCTTCCGGGTTCAGGGCTTCAGGAGTTTAGGGTTTAGGGTTAGGGTTTAGAGCTTAGGGGTTTAGGGTTTAGGGTTCAGGGCTTCGGGGTTCCTGGCTTCAGGAGTTTAGGGTTTAGGTTTAGGGCTTCGGGGTTCAGGGCTTCAGGGGTTTAGGATTTAGGGCTTCGGGGTTCAGGGCTTCAGGGGTTTAGAGCTTATAGGGGTTTAGGGTCTCAGGGTTTCCCTAAACCCTAAAGCCTCGACCCTAAACCGTTGAGCGTGATCCAGGGTGCTTGGAAGGGCAGTGGGGCTTTGCTCAGCGGCTGAAAACGTGCTCTTGCACAAGGCCCAGATCCAGACATCACGAGTGCATGCTGGGAATGTCGCGACACCACAAAAAACTCTCAAACATAACTTTCCGATGAAGTGAACGCTAGAAGGTAGCAATTGCTAGCATAGGTGCCTCAGTGAGTAGAATAGGGCTTTGGGGGATACGGTTGACGATATAAATCCTGCATTACCCATAATAAGGAATAGACCATAATTCCCATGGCCCTTAAGGTAATGCAGGATTTATATCATCAACAGTATTACTGATAAAGAGACTGTGAGGGAATAGCATCAGACATGATTCCCACCTCCATGTGGCAGCTTGAAAAGCGGGCATCGTCATCCTTTAAAGCTCCCCTTCCCTCAGGGTCCATGGACCCATAGAGTAGAGACTTTGAACCCTATAAGCCCTATAATTATAAGCCCTAAGCCCTAGACCCTAAACCCTACAGACCCTGAGCCCTAAACCCTAAACCCAAAAAGTCCAAAACCCAAAAAAACCTAAACCCTTGCTGGAAGTCCCAGCTTCCTTGTCCTCGAAGTTCGCAGTCTCATCGGTGAGGAAGCTTTGCAGCAGGTTCCTGGTTTAGGGTTTAGGGTTTTGAGGTTTAGGGTTCAGGGTTTAGGGGTTTAGGGTTTCGGGGCTGGGTTTGGGGCTTAGGCTTTAGGGTTTAGGGTAGGGTTTAGGGTTTAGGGGTTAGGGTCTAGTGCATGGTTCAAAAATTTGGGTTTCGGGGCGTCCAAGCCCCATGGTGTCCAGGGGTTGCGGTCCAAGACCGATTCAAACCCTCTTATGCCTGGAAACAAAAAACATTCAACGCGTGTAGCTAGTCCCAAGGTATAGACCGGAATGATCCATACATTTGCATATTTCTGCCTTCATGCACACACACACACATCTACAGTCTACAAACACATAAGTGCATGTCAGCAGTTAACTATGAATATTCCAGGACAGTCGAAGGGATAGGTTACCGCAATTGCGGGAAAGCCGGCTTAGACCCGCTTCTTCAAGCGAACATGATCCCCTAAGGCTCCATGTACCCATATAGTAGAGACTGAGGCCGTAAAGTACCAATATAGGGACCGCTTTAAGGCCTAAGAATCTACTATTAAGGTACATGGAGCCTTTGGCATCTAGCATGCATCCAGCAACTTCACAAGAGCAACACTGCGCGACTCGGCATGTGTTGAATTTGTACTCATTGTACTCGTCGTAGCATCATGCCTGGATTATGGAAATACCAGTAGACCCTAAACCCTAAACCCTGTTACTGAACCCTAAATGCCCTACTAGATCCTAAACCGCCAGAAGCTTCCCTCACACCTTCAGGAGCTATGAACATGCAAACGAAGAGCCAGAATAAGACTGCACTACCCAGTGCACAGTCTTGACCTAGCGACAGATTCCCTGAACCAAACTGCACATATGTAGTCATCTGGGCGGCCCTCTCCACCCAGAAGGCGCTAAATCTGAACCCCCCCGATTCCCTACACTACTAAATCCCGAAACCTTCAACCTTTAAACCTCAACCTTAAACCCTAAATACCCCACACCCCGATGCGATGTTTCCAAACCCTCACCCTGCAGGAGCAAGGCCCAGGTGCCCCATGATCAGTGCTCCCATGGTCATGAACCTGGGGCAAGAAAGGGTGGAGCAACACTACATATGGCTCTCCAAGCCCTGAACCTACCTGATGGCACGGCTTCGTCAAATGGCGAGGTGGCCGGGTTAAGGCTACCTGGGTGCGTTCAACAGCGAACTGTAACAGATTGACAATTTCGCTAGCTGTCTTGAGGGTACATGGCTAGCGACCTGCAGTAAGGTTCAGAATTGCGTCATAGTTCCCAACAGGCATTGGACTGGGCTTGGCTATTCGTTCTTTTTAGACAGGCCTTGATTTAGACGGGGCTTAACAGACTTGGGGCGCCAATGGTGAACTTGACGTAGTGACGATAGCTCTGGTGTGCCCATCCTTATACGACGATTTCCGGGGCCCTCCAAGTGTTGCCTCCCACTGTGTCAGTGTAGTTCAAGCGACCCCGAACGGTGCGATGTTCCTAACCAAGGCACACATCCAGCACCTCGCCGCAGACCGTAAACAACCACAATCATTCCATATCTGCTTTCTCCAAGCCACACACCAAGAAGCACCATGGCCCAGCAAAGCGATGGCAAAAAGC